TAAATTGATAGACATATATGGAGTAAATTGTTCTCATTTAGATTAAAGTGAAAATTATGACATCTGTAAATCATTTCATTAATTTTTAATGTTTATAATAGGCATAGGGCATAGGGAATCAGCAGAAATTAATTTAATTAGGCCAATTTTTTAGAACTTTACCATCCAATTATTTTTTAGTAAATTTTTAGATATTTATACCCAAAATGCGAACGAATCGATGAATAATATTATATTGAAAATGTGCCCTAAGAACAAATATCATGGTTTAAGTTTAAGAGCTGTCCACATTGGTGTTGACTTGGCAACCCTTCTTTTCAATGATGGATCCAAAGTATTGGAGGCTCCTCTAAGATTTTGCAGCTTTCCTTTGGACAGTTTACTTTCAGTTATTTCATTATGATGGGTGCTAAGCGGATATCGAAGACACAAAAAACAAATAAATAAGTCCTTAGAAGATACAAATACAAGAACCAAAATAAGACTCAAATTTGGGTTAGAAGAGTCAAAAGTTGAAGCTAAATTACATCCTTATCTTTCAGGGGGGTCATTAAAATTATAAAATTTATTTACTTAATGAACAAAATTATTGCGCGTTCACTCACAAAATTTCGACATTTAATTCACATAAAAAATGATAACTTTTTTAAATATCAACCAATTTGTTTAAAATTTTGCAAGATGCTATATTATATACTTGTCTATGTCAGCAACTAAGGATATTCTAATATATTAATAAGTACACATTTTACAATCCATCAAAGTTTGATTTTAAAATGTCAAAATTTAGATATTTTGGGATGCTGTGATACAAAAAGAATTCAATAAATTATATATTTCATAGTCTCGCCAAAGCTAATCCATATTTCTATATGGTTAAAAAATTGTAATAAATTTGAGCTTAAAACATTCTAACTAATTTTTTTTGTCTGACATGCCAGTTTCCAGCATCCCATTTTTCTTTTTTTTTTTTCATTGTTAGCAAACTCTTATGTTGCACTACTAATGGTTATTTTATGTGTTATTATGGTAGAATGACCATTCCTCTAGCTTCAGTGAAAATTTGACCATTGTAACATAAATAGTTTTTTTTTGGTGAATTTTTTAGTAGTCGACCTGTGTTCAGGGTGTACCTCCCCCCTCAAGTTGATGAGCCAAATGTTCACGTTGATGACCCAAATGATCACGATGATGAGCCAAATGGTCACGTTGATGAGCCAAATGTTCAGGCTAATGAGCCAACTGCTCAAGTTAAAAGAGCCAAATGATCACGTCAATGAGTCAAATGTTCAAGTTGATGAGCCAAATGATCACGCCGATGATCCAAAAGGGGAATGGTGAGTGGCAGGGAATTTGGAGATGAATATTTACTGTTGTTTGTTCGCCGGCAAAGGCTTCTTGCCGAATCGTTCGTTGTTTTGTTGCCTTCTTTTTTTTCCCCAATATTTTATTTCTCTCAATTCATGTTTTCTTTGTTTTCGCAAAATTGTTGGTGAAATAAATCTGCTGTGTAAAAGTGGATAGGAATTGGAATAGTGATATATAGATCAGGGGCGTGGAAAAAAAATGTGTGGGCCAGCGGAGGTGAGCACTAATTGGGATTCTTAAAAAGTGCGTAACTTGTATACATGTTATGTTAAGTTTTTAGTTCCACACACCCCATTTTCTCGATATTACATTTTGTAAAGGATTTATACGAAAATCTTTGATTTTAAATTTTGTTTGATTCTGACCTGATTGCAGTCTTTTCTCACTCTTTACCATTCTTTTCTTTTGAGCATGTACATACCATGCCACCAAGAGAATTTTCTGCACATACATTTTCCACGACGTTAAATATTTGGAAATGATGAAATATTTATTTTAGAATATTAAATTCATAGTTTATGAAAAAAAAAACCTACTATATACGAACAAAAAAAATAATGAATACGATTTTTTTGTCCAATAGTTAGTTGTTTTTTTTTGTTAAATATTTCTTGGCATAACATTCTCACAACAATTATAAAAAATTAAAAAATGTGTATAAAATCCTTAAATAGTTTCATAAAATAGATATTTAAAAAAATGTATAATGAAATTCCAAACATAATTTCATTAATATTAATTAGTGATTAGGTTTGAAGGTTTGAGAATGACGACTTTATAGCTGAAGGCTTTGTCCGCATACCATTTCAGACAACATAACAAAGACAACCAATTTTTTTTCAGAGTATGGAATTAAAGTTGAAAACCACGTTTGTAAATATTAAATTGTATTCACTAAATTTTAATTAATTATATAAATGTACATACATATATGAATATATACATATATATATATATATATATATGTCAATAAACTATTATTGTGAGATGTACATGGGCACCCACCTGTGGGGTCTAGGAACGTTTTTATCCCCCCCCCCCCCCCCCC